GAGACTAATTTCCCCACGGCTTGTTCTTGGATGACTACACACTGATTGGACAACTGCAATTCAAAACTGCAAGATGCAAACGTGTCTCACCCAGAACCTGCCCTTCAGCCTTTGGCACCAGATAAAACACAAAATCCATTCCGAAGAATCACCCCTACCTTTTCGCACCTGGGTTTAAAAAAAGGAAGAAAAGTTTTTGCACTCCTGAAGCTTGGTTTTTAACAAGATTATTCCAGAATTGGAGCCTGACTTCTCATCCCCAAATTTCGTAGGAAGCAAAGCTTTTCTGATCACAAACTTTATTTTCTTTAACTGAAATCAAGGTGGGCAACCTGCAAGGGACTGGGAACCACAATTAACCTGGGGAGGGGGGGAAAATAGGGGCTGTAGGGGATGGGTGGGCAAGAATACAAAGTCTGTGTCGCACACCTGGGCAGGGTCACAATTTTCTGCATTTTTCCTGCATTTAGGAAGGAGCTTGAATTTATCTTGCTGTTGCTTTAAAATCAAATGTAAGTTATTATTTATTTAATATGGTTTCTATGCTCCTCCAGTCCTGGAGACTCTTATTTTAGGAACCATACTACAGACGTTGTGTGTTTTTGGCTTCAAATTGATGAGAAACGGTGTGCAGGGGCTCTGAATGCTTAGAAATTGGGGTATTTGGGATGTGTGAAGACCTGACTTTGGGGACAGGGAAGGAATGAGGGAGCTGTTTAGGGGGCACTTTGAGAAAAGTTCTGAGGAAGAGGGAATCATGAGAAAGAAACTTAAAATAATCCCACCTTGAATTTGATTGATGACAGCCCTTCAAGGTAGGCTAGCTCAAGAAACAGGCATGGCTGAGATTCCAGGAATGCCCTTTATTGTAGGAAGGCAGGGAAAAAAAAGCGAATTTTCTCTCTGCCCCATCTTATACTCAATAAAATCAAGGTGGGGTTGCACTGAGTTTCTTTCTCACCTTTTCCTCTTTCTCAGGACCGAGTGATCTTTTCTGCAAGTCTCCCCTTAACGGCTCCCCCATTCCTTCCCTACCCCCACGGTTGGATCTGCATTCCTTCACAGGGAGCCCCAGTTTCCCCACCTTTGTTGCAAATAAATGGGGCTCACCCCCGCCTTCTCTCACCTGTTTCTCCTTTCTCCGTGCCCGCAGGGTCCAGCCTGCAGCCCGTCCCCCCCTTGTGGCCCCCCCAAGGGAAAGAAATCTGTGAACAAAGACAGCTTGGAGTACCGCCTGCGCCGCGAACGCAACAACATCGCAGTGCGCAAGAGCCGCGACAAAGCCAAGCGCCGGGTGATGGAGACGCAGCAGCGCATGGTGGAACTCCTGGGGGAAAACGAGAGGTTGCGCAACCGCGTGGAACAGCTGATGCAGGAGACCGAGACGCTCCGGGATATTTTCCGCCAAGTGCCTGAAGCCGCTGGGCTGATCAAGGGTCTTGGGGGCTGCAGCTGAAGCCGGTTGGGGATGGGAAGCAAGATGGAGAGGGGAGCTGGAATCAGGAGGATCAGGGCTTTTGCGTGTGTAAATAAAGGATCTATGCTCGGGCTTTGTGGTATATCTGTGGTGGTGAGTGTTAATGCGCGCAGGGCTCTTCCGGGTCACGCTCCAGAATCTTGCAGCTGGAGAAGCAACGTCGAACTTGCACCAAACTATGCTGATCCCTCTGGAGGTGAGGAAGATGGGGGTCCCTCTGAGGGAGGGGGGACTGGATGGCAAACTCCCATCTCTTTTTAAGCCTCCCCTCTCTGTGGCATTACTGCGCTCGGGTCAGGACCGGCATAAAGCGGACCCTTGACGGCGTGCAAACGATGCGGGAGGCAACAGTGGCCGTGCAGAAATTGCGTGTGGGTGGGTGTGGCGGGGGGAACAGTGCTGTGGCGGCCTCAGGCAAGTTCTCCACTCATCCCTCGCCTTGGCCCAAACATACCGTGCTGGCATCGTTCTTCTGCCCTGTCCCTAAGACATTGCCTTGATTTCGTCCCCGGCTCAGGAATGCATGAATGCAAGACGCTTGACTCAGCTCCGCTGTTGTTTTTCCCCTTATTCCCACCTTCCAAGACCACTTTCCAGGCATGGACAAACTGTTTGGCTTGGTCACCCTTTCCCTTGGAGGGAAGGCGAGGGACTGACGGGGCCTGGGAATGGAGGCAGGAAAGGGGTCAGCAACAGGATGCCGGCAGAGGTCTGCTCCTTGAAAGAGGGACCTTAAGTCCCCAGAGAGGTTCCATCCTCTCCTCTCGCTTCCACTGGGGGTTTATATCGCCAAGTGCCCAAGGGATCCAAGTGGGCAAAGAAAACACACGCAACCCCCAGGCTGTCCTCAGCAGGAGCGCCCCTCATCGGGCAAGATAAAGCCTTCAAGCATTGGGCTCAGCTGATCACCAGGGCCTGAAATGATGTGGCTGTAACAAGCTTATGATGGTTGAGAAACACTGGTTTAGACCTCCCAAGGGCCGGGTGCTACCCTCCTGAAGAATCTTCCAACGTGGTTTCTGGAAGCCCCATCACAGAAAGTGGTCAACACATGTCCCTTTATTTTTTTGAAAACACGCATCCCTTTCAGACATGCAGGCGTATCTTATGCAGATCTTCCTTGTTTTCTCCCTCTCTGCTACTCGGGGAAGTCAAAGGCTTCCATTCCTGCTCAGATCTGAAGGTAGAAAGCCCATTTTTCAAGATGGAAGGGAGCTGAGTCCAACAATCGTGGGTCTAGGAAGCTGGGAAAAGCTAAGCCCAAATATTTTTCCATCTCACCCGCATGTCCCTTCTGGTGGCAGCTCTCTGGGCTTCTAGTAGGCCATGGCCTCACCATTTTAATTCATTAAAAAAACCAGGCTTGAAGTGAGATCTCCTACATGTCGATCCCCTCCTGAGGGAATCTCTTAACACTCTTGATTTTAAGTACTTAACTTAACTTGAAGTAAGTTGAGCCAATGCTCGGGCTGCTCCCTTGGAGGAAAGGTGAAACTTTTTTAGCTACTCTTCTTTAGAAAAAAAAAAATGAGAAAACAAACCTAAGAGGGGGGAGGATTTTTATTGTCCTTGGAGAACCAAAACATGGGTTGATCCAAAGAAATTGGCCAGCGTCCTGTTCAGGAAGCAGCAAAGGAAAATCTTTCACGCAACCGATGGCACTTTGGGTTAAAAGCCACAGGGTGAAATGGGTTTTGTGGTGGCTGGGCAGTGTCTTTCCAGGGTTTCAGGCCCACATTCTTCCCAGCCCTACTCAGAAATCGAATCTAAGGCTTTCTCCAAGTAAAGCAAGTCTTCCCTGTCATTTTCAAGGAGAGAGAGCACCCCAATGTGTAGGAAAGAAGAAACTGATTGACAGCGATCGGCCATAACAAGGGAAGGGCTTCACCATGTTCAAAGCCTACATGCCAGCATAGGGTTCTTCCAGATGTCCCTCCACCAAGGTCAGTCTCCATCTTTTAGGTCTGTATAGGATCCCCTTTTCTAAAACAACTTTAAGAGATGTCCATCCAACCATCTGGGAGAAGTTCAAGTAGCAGAATTCCTAACCTGTAGGATTCCCAGTCACTTTCTCCATGACCTCCGCCACACTCACACACACACCACACACACACACACACAGAAACGAGTTGCACAAGGCAGCGGTTGATGTTACAACCTCCGGAGAACTACTTTTGGATGGAGGTGTTGTGATGATGCGACAAGGCCAACCTTCTTCTTGCTACTGAGATCCTATGACCACACCAGACATAACCCAACAGCCTTTGAGAAGGATACCCCAGTCCACACCAAGTCCTCAGGTTTGGGATCTCCTACCAAGGTTCCTTCTCCTGTTGTTCTCCCTTCTCCTTCAAGACAAAGGTACAAAGCAGCTAGCTTTAAGGTACGCCGCTACTTCTATTGCACCGTCTTGTGAAACAGACTGTTACACCATCAGGAAAGAGAAAGAAGCAACCGCAAACCACAACCACCCTTCTCCTCTCCCCTTGCCCTCTGCAAACTCCTCAAACTTGTCATGAGCCCCACGTTTAAAACTGGGAATCCAGCTGGAAGCGAAGACTGAGTCCAACCTGGACCTGTTTCTTCGTTCTCCTCGTCCAGCTAGATCCTACAGTAGATGCCCCAGTGTTCCACACTCCCAACCACCTTTTCTTCATCATTGCGGTACTTCTCTGTTTCTATACCACTAAGGTACATCCTTTCCCGTTCCCATCACACCCTGCTCAGGCTCACTGCAACGGGCAGGTTTGCGAAACCTCTGGCTACACAGCTGTTCTGGAAAGCTTCCAGTAGCTCACAAACTAAGGGTGGAGGCTGTCCGTCATTATGCCTGAAGACCAACAAAGCTAGGGGAGGCCACTGGAGGTCAAGGTCAAGCCCCAGGGCACTTGGGTATCTGCTCAAGGAACTGAATGCTCTAGAACAGGGTTTCTCAACCTTGGCAACCTTAAGACATGTGGACTTCAACTTCCAGAATTCCCCATGCAGCATATGAATTCTGAATTCAGAATTCTGGAAGTTGAAGTCCACACGTCCACACGTCTTAAGGTTGCCAAGGTTGAGAAATCCTGGTCTAGAAGACTTTCCAACCTTCCTGCAAGGCTCAAGGTTTGCTCGGCTGAGACACACTGTTTCCCCAGAGGAGAACTTAAGAGTGAGAAGTCTTCTGACCAACCACTGAGTCAGAGCAATTTTGCAGAAGGCAGAACATGAATAGTACTCCATAACCCCTAGATATGAGGTGATGCCTGTTTGCCTCCGTTTGTGTAAGGGGCACGGTTAAATGGAGAACAAATCTGTTTTGGAATTTCCTCGCAGGAACAAGATCTGCACCTTGAACGGCTGCCCCGTTGAGGAGACATTTAATTAAGAAAGTTTTCCCCATCACAGAGAGTCAGCAACGCAGCAAGACTTGTCCCCTGTTAACTTTCGATCTCCCATCACGAGGTTTTCAAAGCCACGACGGTGCTGTCGGGCGGAAGAGAGTGTTAACATGGATGTGAAAACATGGATTCTTTTTCAAAGAGGGTTGAAAAAAAAACTCATAAGATTACAGGGCTAGAAAATACACAGAATTGACTCAATGTACAAGCTGCTGATCGAACAAACCTGCTTTTGATGGTCTGTATGACGCACAACCGTTAACTAGCTGAACCATTTTTCAGATTTGTACAACGTGCTAAGCGCCTCCAGAAAAACAACCCACGGTTAAAACTAACCAAGTTACTTCAGTTAGCCCTTTCAGGGACTGGTAAAGAACCAAAGGGAACATCTGAAATGGTGCCTGGAAGTGTGGAAAGCAAGGATCATTTCCAAGGACAGAAAAAGATGGAGAGGTCTAGGGAATGGTGTCGGTATAAACTAGAGTTAGCTCCATTTCCTTTTCTTCATTCTCATCTCACGCCTGTGTGGAATCAAAAGGCAGGACACGAAGGCAAAATAATCAAGGCTTCCCTGCAATGTTTTTTAGGCAGTACGTACTGGAGGGGGACCCCACCAAAGGTCAGTGGGGGCACTCCCCTCCAGGCAAAATGAATACCCTGATATTTGTACATTTCTACAAGAAGGGGATGGGAAAAGAATGCAGGCACGTACATATTCATGCGATGATGCAGGAATCTATTAGCAAGCAGTAGATCTCAAGTGACTTTCTGCCCCCCTTTTTATCTCATCCTCCTTCGAGGCAGATGCCTTACGCGTTTGCCCCTCTCCTTCTCTGCTATCTTCAAGGAAAACAACAGCCTTCCTAGGAGGTAGAAACAAGTTAGTTCAAGGTGCTAACCGTCAGGAGGAACTGCGAGAGAGATGCCTCATATATGGAGATGTTTGTGATAAGGCTTGGACATGAGGCTTTTTACAGTCAGCCCAGTTCACACCAGTTGGATAAATTCTTTACAACCAGCCGGCACATTCCTTTCTATTTCAATACCCCCAAAATTCACCCGAAGGCCTATTTGCCTCATTTTCCCCATACCTTTAACGCCTTTGGCTTAGCATTTCTTATTTCTCTCTTGTGTTCGTGTGTGTTGGAGGGAAGTGGTGTCATGTCCATCGTGATGCTATCCAGCACATGACACGAATGGCACAAGCCTGCAGATTGCGCAATCCACATCATTCATGATGCTGTGACATGACGATGACGCTGGGAAGGCTGAAGTGGCTTGGAGGAGACATCTGCTTGGACCCTGAATAAGGATGCTTATCCTGAAAGGACACACAAACACACACACACACTAAACATTTTGTTTGAATGCAGCCACTTCCCTCATCTCTCCAGGAATTTACCTGCTGAAGTAGGGGCACTTGAGACCTCCCCTACAGGCAGGGATGTTTGCAGACAGAAAGTCAAAAAAGTCAAGTTAGGGCCCACAAAGGACCAGGCTTTGATTGCATAATTGTGGCTGCCGTCTTGACGTTTTTGACCCACCTGCCCATAGGAAAGCAATCCAGTATTTCACAGAGTCAACTCTATGCATCAAACACCTTGTACTACAAACTAGGTGGTAACTAGAGTAAACTGTTGCGTTAAGCTATGTTTTACTTAACCACCGTGTATCAGATAAAC